TCTGCCCACATTGATGGAATATTATTCACCTGTGACTGAAGCACTGACACACACCACCACATGATAAACCTCGAGAACATACTCAGTGAAGTAAGCCCAACGCAGAGGTCGTTAGTGTGTGCTTCTGTTAATAAAAATCCAGAATAAGCAAACAAAAGCTACTGAAGGGGGACTGGTGACTGCCAGGGGCTGGGGGTGGCGAGGAAGGTAGAGAGAGATGCTCAAGATGATGGGAATTTTCTGGAACTGACTAGAGCTGGTGGTTAAGTACTAAACGTCAGTGATCAGACTGTGGAAATAAAAGGTGGACTGCTCTTCCCGTTAGTCACTGTCGTCTTCATTCATCAGGACGGCAGAGAACATAAGGATCCACACTAAGCAAGTCAGGAGTCAGTGGGCTGTGTGATGGGGTCATGTCTCAGATGCCCTGCGGGAGCAGGTCCTAGCAATTAGGGCAGCTGGCGACACAGCGGGTGAAGCGACGTAGATGCCATCTCCATGTGATGCCGTGTGAGAACAATAGGTTCTTCTTCAAACTCGCAGGGCACCAAACTGGCACCAAATTGTAGAATCTCTTATTTTAACTTAGAGAGTGAAGAACAGGGAAGCCTGGTGCACTGAAGTCATGGCATGGTCAAGACTCAGATACAACTTAGTGACTGGACAAAGAACAACAGTCTCTTAACTCGAGAATCCGTCTAAAGCAGTTACAAAAGCTTCTAGAAGTGAGTCACATTTCCTATGAACTGGCTCAGACAAGCCAGATGACTGGTTTGGATGAAAGGTGATAGGCGGGAACAGATTCTTTAGAACCTTCCTCTTCTCTGTCTGTAAAGCTCACTAGAGTTGGGTGTGACAGTGATGAGGAAGAACAAGGAGATACCACTCCTCACCAGACTCGTGAGCGTATCAGTAATCAGCTATACGGGAAATACAAGGAAATAAAAGCTGGCTATTCTTCTGAATTGTTCAAGTCAGTACTTGGGTATGCAGTTCCACAGTGTGTACTTGGAGACGATCCTGTTGTCCCGGTACTTCTGCAGGATGTAGGCCTCCGCGCCTGGCAGGGGGGGCTCCCGATGGCCCACGTGAACGGTCCAGCTGTCTACCCAATCCTCCCCCCGCCACCACTACAGCACCCATGCACCAGTGTCCGCACCAGGCTGCGGTCGGTGGCTCCTCGGCTGTGCCCACCTGATCAGTGCCCCCGGGCCTGGCTAGGCGTGCCCCAGTGTGGCCGCGGGCCCCATCCGGGGACGGTCTAGGAGCGCAGGGCGGTGCCTGCGGAGGTGACAGCCTGGCGGCCGGGGCATGCGCACCAGTGTTGGAGTGCTGGGGCTGATGGCTGGTGGTGTGCTGGCCCGTGGATCCCGCCGCTGCTCAGCTTGCCGTGCGGTCTCTTGTCTGCTGCGCTCCCTCCTCTTCTCATTGCTTTTATGGTATGTAGGAAGCAAGGTTGCTTTTTGTTCCAGAGGGAGACATTACCTCATCCTCAAGGTTGCTTGATGCACGCACAGCTCTGAGAAACATCTTATGTGAAGAGTGGTTAGGACCTTGCCGTGTTCTCATGTACTCAGCAAGACATAGGGGAGCCCCAGAGACCAATGGAGAAGTGTCTTAAGTTCCATCAGGACGTGTTAAAGAAACTTACTGCAAGCAAAGTAGTTGGGTCACTTTCATGATGATAAGATTAAAGTAAGTACAATTTGGAAAGGAGGAGACCTTCACCTAACCTGGATTTCTCATATTTCTCATGTTTTCAAGTGGAAGTCTTTGAACTGTTCCTGAAGTTTTATCCAGATAGAGTGAACTGGAAGGGTTTACTGCAGGTTTTTGGCTTTAGCAGTCTCCTGTTATCTCGGGATTCTTCATTAACAACAGATAATAATGCTATAGTCTCTGATTTCAGTTTGATTTCAAGTCAAGGTGTAACTAATGAGTATGGGGATTTGTTAAAAACATGGAGCTTATAAATTCTGAGAACACTCTGTGTGTGTGGCTTACGCTTCTTCTCTTGAAAACATGTGAGTTTTTATTCTTTATCCTCCACTTTGTGAAAGTTCACATCATTGTACATTGATATGGTCCTTTTATAGCTGTTGTACTTCGGGGAGATTTTTTAGTTTATCTTTTAATCCTTCTTTTGAATTTCTAATTTTATCTATTGCACTTTCAATTTGAAGCATTCGTTGTTGATCTCTACCTCTCACCCCACTTTGAAAAAATGTTTTGTTCTTATGTCATGAGTATCATCTTTTATTTTTTGGAGGATATTAATTATTTGTTGCTCAGTCACTCAGTCGTGTCCAGCTCTCTGCGACCCTAACTCTCTGTGGGCTGCAGCACGCCAGGCCTCCCTGTCCTTCACCAGCTCCCGGAGTTTGCTCAAAGTCATGTCCATCGGGAGTCAGTGATGCCATCCAACCATCTCATCCTCTGTCGGCCCCTTCTCCTCCTGCCTTCAGTCTTTCCCAGAGTTAGTCTCTCTTTTAAGGTTTTCTTTGTATGTTATTGATTTGGAGCTTCTGTTTATTTTGGTTTCCTTCCATATTTGAAGTTTTTTTCAATTATCTGATCATGTTTGACCATTCATACTTAGGAGACATAACAAAGCTGATTAAAAGTTGTGGAACGTATAGAGTTCACAACAGGAACCTCCCAAGTGTCCCTTCAGCTTGTAAACTCTCATTGCTACATTTTCAGTGGCTCCTGTGTTTCTGTGGTGTAATTCCCTGAGTCCCTAAACTTCTCTGGTAAAGATGCACTGAATCACCTTTTGGCAAATACTGAATGGCTGAGTGTTAAAATCAGCAGGAGCGTGAGAAGTGTAAGGGCACTAGAGTCAGTCTGGTTTTAACAGACTTTGAGTTATCACTGTCATATTATTAAAAATTTGAATAGCCACATTTTAAGAACACATTGCACAGAGAAAACGAGTGTAGTCTTGTTGGCGGCTTGATCGCGTCTACGTCACTAAAATGCCTGTGTGCGTGTGTGTTAGTCGCTCAGTCGTGTCCCACGCTTCGCAGCTCCATGGACTGTATCCCGCCAGGCTCCTCTGTCCATGGGATTCTCTAGACAAGACTTCTGGAGTGGGTTGCCATTTCCTCCTCCAGGAGATCTTCCTGACCCAGGGATCAAATCTGGGTCTTCTGCATTGCAGACAGATTCTTTACTGTCTGAGCCACCAGGAAAGCCCAAAATGCCTGTGGTGATACTAAATAAGTAATTACTTTCAGTGAGAATATAAGTTGGAAAACAACAATTTTTAGCAACTTATATTGACTTTGAACCACTGTTTCTGTTTACAGTCCAGATTCTTACCTTTTCCTTTTGTTGTAACTCTTACCTTTAATCCCTTAACCTTTCTAGGGTTTTAAAACATTCTGGCTTGCTTCTCATTGTTGTTTCTGAAGACATTTGGGTTTTAGCTCTTTGCTTTTCCTCTTTCAGAGATGTGTTGCTATCTCTTGTTCACTGATACTGTCTTCTCAAACCTAGGGATCATTAGTACCTGCAAGTATATTTTTTGATAATAACCTTCTTATAGTATTGCAAGGAGGCTTAGGTTTAAAAGTAAGAATTATAAGATTTCAGAATTTTGGAGTTTTGAACTAAAATATTCAAGCTACAAAGAATAACAGATTATAAAAAGCTGGTGTTTTTCTTCTAAAAGTTTACAATGAAAAAGAAGTTATTCTTTAGAATGCAGGAAAAAAGTTCCCCTATCCTTGTGAAAACAAAGTTATACTTTAGAACTTTGGAAATGACTCTTTGCCATAGTCCTAGCATGAATTTGAAATGTGAGTAAAAATACCTCTCAGGGATACAGCTATATTAACTATAGAGAAGGCAATAAACTTGCTTTTTAAAAATTTCTTTCTAGTTGAAATTTTTAAGAAAATATTTCCTGTCAAAGCAGTTCTTTGGCAGTGCTGTACTTCTCTTTGGGCTCAAAAAAACCATTTTTCTTATTACATTGATGTCTGCTGAGTATCTCAAGAAGCAGTTTAGGGGTATTTGAATGTTTGTGTTCAGACTGTCTGAACTGAAAATTATTTTGGACTGAAAATATGTTAATCTGGAAATACTTTTAAGTTACTTCAAACTGTTCTATATGATAGAGTGGAATTGGGCCCTTCATTGCATAATGCCTTAAAAGCACCAACTTAGGCATACATAGAAGAAAATTTCTGAATCAAGCTCATAAGTATGAATGTATTAAATGTGTAGAACTGAGCATTAAGAGTGAATGCATTAGTGGCCTAGAGCAGTAATTGCTTAGAACAGTTTAAAGAACCTCAGTAACATACATATGTCGAATACTTGCCATCAAATGCCTTGAAATCATTTGTATTCAAGATTCATTGCATTAATCAGTTTGAAAGCAAGCATTATATAAACAATTAGGTCCTGTTCATTTTAGAGGACATCAAGATGTTATGACATTTAATTTAGTAAGCAATGAGGTTGCTCGCTCTTTTTAAAACAACATAGCTTTAAAAGCATCACAAATAAGGCATCATAAAGAACCTCTGTATTACACTTTACAGTTTAGAAAACTCCTTCACATACATTGTTTGAGTTGATCTACAGTAATCTTGTGAGGAAGGTAAAACAGCTTCTACCCATGGTAGGTTAAGTGTCTGGCCTACACTACAGCTGTTCCTCTTCCCAAAATTCTACCTGATCCTACTATAGGAACCAAATCTTGTGTCTCTTGGACTGCTTTCTTTTTTATATGATGGTTGTTTGGCTTTGCTATTCTTTTTTGTAATTAAAAACATTGTTTTCCTTTTACTTATGGAACAAACAGGACAGATATGTTTCATATAAAATTCTCCTAGTGTATTTTAAAAACTCACAGAAAACTGTTTATTGCCAGAGGCATAAACTAGCATGAGATCTAAAATAAAGAACATTTATTTCTTTATTTTTAATTTAATTTCTTAAAGTTGAACTTGGAAATTGTCTTAATTATTTAAAATTTTGTCTTATAGATACTATATTTCGAAAGGTGCTATTGTGGATCAACTTGGAGGAGACCTAAATTCAACTCCATTGCACTGGGCCACAAGGTTTAAATTTACTTCTGCATTGTTTTCCTCTTTTAGCAGTCTATAACCGACTTTTTAAAAGAATGATGTGCTGAAATGCATGGGAGAACTTGTTATGCTGATAGTTAATGTCAATAATGAACTCATTTATTGCTGTCCAGGGTTACTTGTGTTGAAAGCAAAGTTTATTGTCTAAAGTGTCCTTTAGGAATTAACCATGCTGATATCAATCCAGTTAATTATAAGTTGGGGTTAAACTTTGGAATACTTTTGCAGTCTATATATGTTTACACTGAAAGAAGTGTCTAGTTCATGGGACAATTAAGGTCATACTGGAATAGGATTAATAGAATATATAATAACTATTTAATACATGTTTCAAGAAGTTATGAGTATAAATTTTCAAAGACTTTTATACCAGTTAAGACTTAAGAACATAAAATCCTAAATGTGTCTTGACATATATCTATTTTAAAATAACATAAAATAGGGTTTTTCTAATCTTTTCTACCATTACCCTACTTTTTTTTAAAAGATCTTTCCAGAGTTTCTTCTTTGAAATAACTTTATATATTTAAGTGTTTATTCTTTTATGTTTTAGACAAGGCCATCTATCTATGGTTGTGCAACTAATGAAATATGGTGCAGATCCTTCATTAATTGATGGAGAAGGATGTAGCTGTATTCATTTGGCTGCTCAGTTTGGACATACCTCAATTGTTGCTTATCTCATAGCAAAAGGACAGGTAAAAAAATCACAATGGGGTAGATTTTAATCAAACTTTCTTCATGGTTTGAATACCTAATATCATTGGTGTTAACAAGTGTAACAGTCTAGTGATATTAAAATAGTACTTTCTGATGAGTGAAGAGAGTAAATAAATGAGCTGTTTATTGTAGTTAACCTGAAAGTACAAAAACCAGTTATGACCCAGATAATGACCCATTAAGTTGGGTTTTTATTTCCAGTAGTGATAGACATGAATTTCAGAAAGTTCTTAGGAGAAAATTTAGGTTGTCTGTTTTTCCCCCTTAATTACACCCTTTGAATATATTATCTGAATTCATTTAAACTGTTCTGAACATATTACTGGTTATTTTCTATATTAAGTCCCTCTCAAGGGGGATACATCCTTCACTCATTTTCTGTTTCTGATGTCTAAAATACTGCTTCTTACATGTCAGAAGAATTCTCATGATTTAAGTGGTTCTTCCTAATTACTCCTGAATATGTAGTGACTATAATCACATTAAATATTATCAGTTTATGTGTACCATGATTTTCTAATAGCAAATGTATTTTGTTAAAAGTTACATCACTTAATTTTTCTTTCATGAGTTTTTTCTAGTTATACTTACACATTAGTTTTATAGTTAAGGATCTTATCATAAAAGTAAGATAAATGATTTTAATTCAGTGTTGTTAAAATATATTTGTTATTTTAATGTGAAACATTAGATTTAGGATTTGAATACTATTTTGTGACTCCTTTGAGGTATTTGCTGTTGACAGTGCTAGTCAGTGATGATTGTGTGTTGTACGCTTTTGCTAAGAAAAGGAGGTGGAGGCTGGTTATGTTCATTGTTGAAAGGGGGAGTTTTATCATCTATCGTTGTGTTAAAGACTGCCCCCTAAATCTGATGGTTTTAGAACAGTGCCCACCGTTATATTTCACAGTTCTCTGGGTTAACTGGGCTTGGCTGGGTGGTTCTTCCTGTGATGATGGCAGGGGGTACATATATAGGGGCTCCGCTGGGCTGGAGAATGTCTCACTTGCATACCTTGTATCTTGATAGGAATGGCCAAAAGGCTGGGCTCACTGGGGGTACCTGTCTCTTTTTCTCCATGCAGTCCCAGAATTTCTCCTTCTCCACACCACCCCTCCATGCGCTCTCTCTAGCAGGGAAGCATGGTGGTGCAGAGCTCCCCAAAGAGCAAAAGCAGAAGCTGTCGGACTTTTTTAAAGGTTTTGAACCAGCATGGCAACATTTCTGCTCCATTCTGTCAGTTAAGCCAAGTAACGGCCAGCCTAGGTTCATTGTGGGAACACAAAGGTTTGCACACCCGGAGAGGAGGCCTGTGGGAGGCTGTCTTTGGAGACTGGCCACCAGGAGGGACCCTCTTGTTCTCCTACAGCTCCCTCTGGACTGGGGGCAAAAGCAGTAGATGGCGCTGTTGCACGCGGCGGTGTCTTCACTGGCCTTCTGCATTACAGATACAAGTTTACAACGCATGTTCACCTTTTCTCTTCCAGTTTTTCACTGGGTAGGAATAGTGGAATAAAGTTTTGGCTCTCTCTGCTAACCTGTTGGTTTTTGAGTTCGGATGTTTCAGTCGTCAGTTTAACTCTGGCAGAGTGTGGAGGCCATAAAAGTCACAAAGGGTAGACTTTTTTGTCATAGTACTTTTCGTGCAGTAAATACATGATGATGGTGATGAGTGTCTGACAGATAATTAGTTTTCTTTTTCATGAGTAATTTTTTTTCCTGCTTACAAAAGTAACAGTACTTACTGTATTCAAACATAACAGAAAAATATGGCTTAGAGAATGAAATCTCACCTGTTTCTTTACCTCCTCACCCCCATTGAGATCTCTTCCTCTAATGTTTACTATGTATTTTTCCAGAATTTGTCAATGTACATGCTAAAATATCATAGAAAGAAAACCCCTCTAATGTGCATTCCATTGTACTTTAAATGGGTTCCAAAGTCCTTCTGTGGCCTACTGAACTACGTGTGGTCTAGCCCTGGAAACCTGTCATCTCATCTTCCGTCGTCTCTGCCTCACTCACTGCTTTTACCACACCTGTCTTGCAGTTCGCTCAGCAGCTTTGATAAGGTTTTTCATGGGGCCTTTGTGCCTGCTCTTCTTCTGCTTGGTAATTCTTTTCTCAGTCACACACAGTTCGCTCTCCTTTTCTCTCTCACTTTAATCAGATGTTTGCTCAATTTTGATTAGTTCTGATTAGTTCCCAATTATAAGCAGTAATAAAATTAGTGTATTTCTAATTCCTACTTATTCTCTGTCTTATTTTGTCATTAGTAATACTGTTTTTCTTAGTGTTAATGTTTTTTCTGATAAATATAACTTACATTTCTGTTACTTGATTTTTCAGCTCTAAATAATATTCTTTGACTCATAGCTGTTGCAGGCTAGACACTCATCATACTTTCTTTTCAGCCTTTTCCCACCCCCACCCCCCTTTTTTATTAATTGTGCCAAATTTACATTCTTAGAACAAATAACATTTCCATTCAGTTCGTCATTCTATTCATCACCGTTGTTTCATGTTAGTTATACTGTTAAATATATTCAGTGCTCACTACCAATTCTTTTGAATGATTTTCAGGGGAAAATGCTAAGTAATGGAGCCCTGTTGATCATGGAATTCCCATAACCTTTTGATCTGGGCTTGTTAATTCTTCCTAATAGAGAATACTCATACGTCCAGGCTGAACTTGGAAAAGAAGTACCAAGTTTTAAATCCTGACCCAAAGAGAGAAAAGGTTGATTTTCATTTTTCTTTTAGTACTCTAGAGGTGTGGCATAGTTTTACATTTTTTATTTATTAATATTTTTAATACTGTCACTTATAAAAAATGATAATGCAGAGACTTACAACTAAGAAGGAAGAAGAAACTTAAGAATTTACATGTTTGTTTTAATTGGACATCAAATTTAGTTGAGCTTTCTTGAAACCAGGGCAGTGAAGGAAGTAAAATAAGTGACAGTACTCAGCTCTCATGTAAGAAGCCAGGAAGTCTGTCATTTCTTCAGAGCAGCTTTTTTAAAATATTTTTATTGGAAAAAAAAAAGTATAATGTAAATAATGAGTGAGGTTACATGAGATATTCCCAACAACACATAGAATAAATTTAGAAATGGATTTGTAGTGATAAGGCACAATACCTAACTATAGTTTTCATGAGACAGACTGAAATTAGTGATGTCCAAGGGTATATGTTACCTCTTGTCAAGATAGTGGTTCTCGGCTTTTTTTCTCTTTACCTCAATGTATTTGGACATTTGAGACATACTCGCATCAGTAAGAGTGACTTACAGAGAACTGTACATAGAGTTATGAAGTGTTTTACAGTGTACTCACTATAACTGTGCTCTCTCCGCTGGGTGGTAGACTAGATAACATAAGTTGGATCACATCTGTGGGTTTGATGTAGTCCAGGAATGGGAGATGGGGATGGGACGAAGAGGAAACAATTTTTATTGAATGTCTGTTATGTTCCATGCTATAGAATTAGGTTGCCTTACACACATCATTCCATTTAATCATCACTGGGGTCTTACGAAGCCATTATTGTATTCACATTTGTAGATGGGAAAGCTGAGGTTCGGGGAATTAAAGTAATTTTGCCAATTTTACAGTTAAGGTATGGAGCTAGGAATTGAAAATCATGTCTGTCTTGTTCTAATGCCCATTCCTTTCCCAAGTCTAGAAGAGTAGATAGGTAAACTTGTGTTTTCATTTAACAGATGGTTTTTTATTATTCTCCATGCCCAGAAAAGTAGATACAAAGATGACTTTAAAACAATTTTGATCTTTAAAGAAGTGTTGTTCTAGTTAATGAGACAGATACCTCAGGTACATAGCAGAATCAATCCAAATTGATTGCTGGAGTGGGTCAAGAGAAAGAATTGTAGGGAACTGAAACTAATAGAATCCCTGATACATTAGCATGTCTTGAAAGAAGATTTAGATAACTTGAAAAGAGTTTGGGTTGAATAAGTAGTAGTTTTAGTTCTAATTTGCTAAAAAGAAAAAAAAAAAACAGAACTAAGCATAAGGGAGAAAAAATACAGTACCAAGGAAAGCAAAAAGCTGGGTAGGAGAAGAAAAAATCATGGTTTCTACATAAATTTTTTGGGAATAGTATTCATAGATATTTATAATAATGTAAGTATCAAATATTTATAGAACCTGAATTATTATCTGTTCAGAGGAAGGAATAGGAAAGGTGTGTGTCTGTGATGGGGCAGTGAGAAGAAAGAGAGAATGTGCCATTTTACGTATTGAGGTTATGTAAAATATGGATATTGAGGATAATGCCTAAAACTGAAAAATCAATAAGTACCAATTCAGGTTTTTCATTTTAAGTATGTGGGAGTAAAAAGCACAATAATGAGTTTTAAAAAAATGAAAATGGTAGGGAGTAAGACAGAAGATTGCTTTATTATTTTGCTTTTTCATCGCCGACTTTGTAGAGTTAGTTAATTCTAAAAATATTTATGCATAGTGACATAGTGATGAAAAGCATTTTAAAATAAAGAACAAATTCGGTAAATTTTAATAGATTCAGAATATTTGACTCTTTTAAAATTTATTGAATTTATTCTTTGTTTTAAAATGGCTAGAAATAAACAGGGTTTTATTATTCTCTCATATCATGAATTAGTATAAGTAAGTTTTCAGAAACATATGTCATTTATTTAATCTGTTCATTGTGGGTGAAAGATCAAGAGTAGGTCAAGATCTTTAAATGAAAACATTAAAAGGCTGAATGAAGCATCTTAAAAGAAAACTATAAATAGAAGTTAATTAAATATTAAATATATATTTATATTTATAAATAAGTATATTTATGTAGATATTTATACCCATATTAATTTAAATATTTAATAAATAGTTTTATTTTAAAGTTAAGTAAGAAAAAGTTTCATAAATCAACCTTGATTGAGTGGTGTTATCATTCTGATTTCTTTTGTGATGTGTAAATTATGTTTTTCTGAGTAAATTTGGTAGGGACTTAGAAATTTTTACTGTCTGGCTTTTTACTCTATCAGGATGTAGATATGATGGATCAGAATGGGATGACGCCTTTAATGTGGGCAGCTTATAGGACACACAGGTATGTAACCGTTACAGAACACTCACTCAGGTCGTTTCAGCATGATGAAATGTAACACAGGTGGTGAGGAAAAGCAGTCAGTGTTATACTTATTAACATTTAAAATTCTTACAGTGAATACATAGTATATGACACAGATTACCTTTTTGGATATTTTGAGTCTTTATGTTTACTTTTATGTTGGTAATTGTAGTATCCTTAAGGTAGTCTTAAGCACCTTCTTATTAAAAGTATAACTCATTTTTTATATGACTTGTGTGTTGGCAAGTTTAACATTAATAAGTTGCCTTAAGTCATTTTTGGAACAGTCTAGATTTAAATTTAAAATTTTAATTGATTAAGTATTTAGATATTAATAACATTAATTCCATGATGTAGAATATGAACATCAGGACCAACTGTGTGCTCTCTTGGAACTAGTTTATGTGCTTTGATGTAGAACATACTTAATACTTCATATTAAAAATGTTGTCTCATTACTCATTCTAAAGTTGTCAAAAATAGGTTAGAATAGAAGTGTTCCAAGATGGAATATAACCACAATCAGTTTAGTATCTGTAATGATTTCTATAATTGAAATTAGGGTTGTTGTTGTTGTTGTGTTTTTTTTTCCTTTTCAGTGTGGATCCAACTAGATTGCTTTTAACATTCAATGTTTCAGTTAACCTTGGTGACAAGTATCACAAAAACACTGCTCTGCATTGGGCAGTACTAGCAGGGAATACCACAGTCATTAGTCTTCTTCTGGAAGCTGGAGCTAATGTCGATGCCCAGAATATCAAGGTAAAAATAGCCTTTATTGATTGTGCTTTGTGAAATGTGATTACCAAAGTTGGAATTCTTTAATAAAACTTAGGTTTTTTAATAGACTGTCAGAGGTGGAAGAAACTTACTCTCAACCCTTTGTTTCCATGCAAGAATTTGTTTTGAAAAACTAATTTATTTATTTTCATCTTTTAGTATTGAAGTATTTTTCAGATTTTGGTGACCTTTTCATTAGTGAATTCTTACTGACTTTTATCTATTTATAGCTGAATAGGTAGTTTTATGGTTTCTTTAAAAAGATTATTGCACTAAGATCCCACATGCAGCACCATGCAACCTAAATAAATAAATAAATAATATCATTACAGAGAATCACAGGTTTTTATCCCAAGTATGCATAATAACTTTCAGTAATTTTTTGACTTGGTCATTAATTATCTTATTTTTATAAAAGTCAAGACCTTTAAATTTGATAATCATATGATATTTATAGGAGAATTTCTGTCTATGCTGGAGTAATCCAAGAAAAATGTACCCCAAAAGTATACACAATGTTAACATTTACACTCTGAGCACTTAGAAATTTATAGACATTTATATGAATACCTGCAAGAAAATTCTATTGGTAATCTTAAATTTTGGTTAACCATTCTTAGTTTTAAAGCTTGTCTTTTAGCAACAGACTTTTTCTGTGAAATGACTTGAAAATTTTAAACATCTTTTAATAATGTGCCTTCTTAAATAACTTTGTACTCATTAACAAATGTTGTTTAATTTTTACTATAAGCCATTGTATTTTCTTAGTCATGCCTCTTAAATTTCTAAGGAGTATATTCTATTTAAATATAAAAGGAATTTGAGTTGCATAATAATCTAAAATGGCAATCAAAAAGTTGGTTATCTCCTGCTGGATCAGGGCATCTTTTTATGTAGCAGTGAACAGTTCTTTCTCTGTTTGATTACTCTGAGAAGATTAAACTACTAAAATAGCTTTGACTAATCTATTTATAATTACAACCAATTTTTAGAAGTGAGTCTCTAACTAAAAGTACTTAGTTAAAAGTTACTATCACATATCTTATTGGAAAGGCTAAGAAGTTGAGAAAAAAATGTATTTTCTTTTACCTTTTTTCAAGTTCAAGTCTTTTTGTCTCTACCCAAAGTGATCAGAATGGTCTAGTTACCTGCTGGTAAATTTATGGGAAGAGGACAGTCAGCTTACCCTCGTGTCTGATGTGTGATGAACACTCTTAAGTTTTGTTGACCGAATGAAGATTCTTGTCTTGAGCTTCACCCCTAGGCTGGTTTTCATGACTGTGCTGGCATACATCTCTGCCACTTCTGAAATCATAGAGAGAAATTTTTGCTTTCCCAAACGTTTTAAAGTAGGAAGTTCTGAAAAGTTTGTAATACGTAATTAGTAAATTAGGCTGATCCCAAGGCCTGAAGAAAAAGAAAGGAGGAGTTTGACTAAACCTAATCAGTATCCCTATGAGAAAAAATTTAACAAGATGACCTTATATTTTATGATCTAAATTGCTTTAGAGTGTTATTTTTCTTCTGTTAGCTACTGGATAGCCATTCCTAAAGTGAGTTATGCCTCAAGAATACATTTCCAGTATTTAGTGTTATATTTTAATAGAACCAGTTTCCCTATGGCAAATAGTGTATGTCCGTAGACTTTGCCAAGAATCGTATAGATATGTTGAAATTACAGTAGTACCAAAGAATTACAAAGTGATGGCACAGTTTTATAATTTGAAACTAGTAGTATGTATTTTCAGAGCATTTAAAATCATCTTTTCTTAGCATATAAAAGTTTAGATAACTTCTCTTCAGTCATGAACTTTTATGTATTTGAGATGTGGTTTGTAAGTTTAATGTCTTTTCATCTTGTACTCCAAATTAACCATTGTATAAACTTTTGATAAGCTTTTGGCTTCCCAGGCAGTTCAATGATTAAGAATCTGACTGCCAATGCAGGAGACTGGTGGGCTACCGTCCATGGGGTCACAAAGAGTCAGACATGACTGAGTGACTAATGCTTTCACTTTCATACAACTCCCAGGTGTACAACATGATGATTTGACATTTGTACACCTTGCAAAATGACTAGCATGTCCAGTAAACATCTGTCACCATCACAGTTACAAATTTCTTTTTTCCTGTGATGCAAACCCCTCAAGATTTGGGCTTCCCAGATGGACATAGTGGTAAAGAACCTGCCTGTCAGTGCAGTGGACCTAAGAGACATGGGTTTGATCCCTGGGTCAGGAAGATCCCTTGGAGGGGGACATGGCAACACACTCCAGTATTCTTGCCTAGAGAATCCCATGGACAGAGGAACTTGGTGGGCTGCAGTCCAAAGGGTTGCAAAGAGTCGGACACAAAACAACTAAAGTGATTTAGCACACACATGATGCAAACCCTCAAGATATTTACTCTTAGTGACTTCTGAATATGCACTACAGTATTATTAACTGTGGGCTTGCTGGTGGCTCAGTTTTAAAGAACCTACCTGCCAATGCAGGAGATGCAACTTCCATCCCTGGGTTGGGGAGATCCCTCTGGAGGAGGAAATGGTAACCCTGCCAGTATTCTTGCCTGGAAAATCCCACGGATAGAGGAGCCTGGCAAGCTGCAGTCCTTGCAGCTGCAAAAGAGTTGGACTTGATTTAGCAGCTAAATAACAACAATTGTTAACTATAGTTGTCATGTATTATATCCTTGTGATTTCTTTTTTTTAGAACTGGCAGTTTATACCTTTGGCTCCCTTCGCTAATCTCCCCAGCTTCCCACACTGTCTACCTCTGGCACTCAGCAGTCTGTATCTGTGAGCTTGCGTTTTGTTGATGTTTTGTTTTTAGGTTCCACATATAAGTGGTATCATAAGGTATTTGTCTTTCTTCTGACTTACTTGAAATGACACTGTTTTTAAAGGAAATAAAGTGTAAGGAGTTGCTTCAGTTGCTCAGGGAGCATTTATACTATCAGAGTAAAAACAATCTTTTTAACCACACTGGTGAAAAAGTAGATTTTTGTTTAAAACTGTAATTTTAATGTGACTAAAAGAGTGAAATAAGTATCAAATACCTTTTCTACTGGAATCTGGCATTCCTAATATGCTAAATCCTGGTTGCCTTCTAGTGGAGAGCGTTCATTCATCCAACAAATGTTTGTTTAATGCTGGGCAGTCAGTGCTGAAGATAGACGAAGTCCCTATTCTCTCAGAAAATTACACCATATTGAGGAAATAGACAATAAATAAATTAGCAAACACATACACAGAGGCAGATGTGGTCGTGATGAGGGCTAAGGGGGCTGTATCAGGTGAGAGTGATTTGTGCATGCCTCTGAGACAGGGACCAGTTAGATACATGAGAAAACACTTTTCATGTAGAGGAGCCCACAAGTGTGAGGCCAAGGCCAGGAGTAAGCTTGTCATGTTAGCGGGGTGGGAACGACGGTGCTGACCAAGCAAGAGCCACTGAGAGAGACAGGTGCCAGGCCGTGAGAAAGTGCTCCAGCTGTATTCACAGTCAGACTGGGAAGGTGGCTGTGGAATTGTTATGTAATCTTTGTGTTTAAAATACATTTTAAACATTGCTTTGTTACTTGGAGAATAAATTGAAGAATTAAGAAAATGAAAGGGGATGTATTAAGATCAGTTTGGTTCGTATAATAAATCAGGCAAGTGATAAATGTTACTTTTGCCTAAGATTGAAGTGATGGAGAAAAATGAATGGTTTTGGAAATGATAATTTAGAGTAGAAAAGAAAAGGTAGAATAAAACTGAAGATGAAAGAAAAAACATTACTGATTTAGTTTTGTTTTGAATAACTGAGTGTCTTGTGATACATGTTGAAGTTGTGAAGACGGAAGGAAATAAGCTTTTTTGGGGCAACAGGACGTATATAATTTGAGGTGGTGCCTTTTAGCTATGTGGAATGTCACATAGCTATGTGAAAAATTTGTTAATTAAAAAAAAAAACCAACCTAGATTGTTTGTCCTGGAATTTGACAGATTAAGTTAATTTATAGCTGTGTATTTTTCTTTTTCATTTTAAGTCTTAAGAAAGTCTGGTTGATAAACATGAATTGTACCAAGATGGAACCTGTAAATCTGGATATGGCTTTAATAGCTAATAGAAGTTACATTTTTCAAAGAATATGAAAAAGTATTTAACTATTGATTAACTCTATTCCTTGCAAAAGCTATTTCCTAAATAAAATTAAGCATAAGTTTCTTAGGAATCTGTCTTTATATCCTTGTAAATTAGTTATTTGAGTATTTCAGTTCTTATAATATATAAGTAAATGATTCTTTTATCAAAATAATAACTTATTTTGGAGACCTTATTCAATGATAGGTAACTTTAAAATGACTAATTTTATCCTTAGAAGGATTAGGAATGACCATATACCCTCATTAGAGGGTCTTAATCTGGGTCCCACCAGTGGATTTTGGTTAAGGGGTAGGTCCACGAGCTCTAAAATTGTTCATGAAAAAGTATCAGCATTTTTCTGGCGAGGAAGTCACCAGACTTTCATCACACATGGCTTAAAAGAGTTTAAAAACCATGTCCCTAATTAATGGTTACAGAGAATAAATTTAAATCTTCTGAGGTAGTAACAGTAGTGGGAGAGAGTGATTTGGGAAACTTAGACTTTAAGAAAAATGACCTATGCAGTAATCCCTTTTCATGGTAGCATCTCATTTGTGCATTTAAAAAATATATTTCACCTCCTTACACATGTTTTTGGTTGATAAATTTAGATGAATTGAGTTTGGAGAGGGCAATTAATCTTGAGTGCTGCCTATACATTTATAATTTATTCTTTCTAAAATTATCAAAGGACATAATTTTTAGCTTGTGCAAAATGTAAAATTCCTGAGCTTTGTTAATTAATACATTGAAAGACTTTTGTATGGTTTCTTGAAAAGAGCTAAGAAACTATTTTCAGAAAATAGTTTTCATTACCCCTTAGGTACCCGACCTTGATGGTCTCTGATGAAGAACTTTCCTTAGTTTTAATAATGAAATTCTACCTCACTTAAGCAAAAAGTGATCTTCCACCTTCCATAGTGTTTATCTCACCAAAACCCCTGAAGAATATCTTTTATTACTAGTTAGTTACATACTCTGTAATACTCCATGATTCTTGTTACTGCTCTTGTTATTATCACTTGCTATTTTGGCTAACACATGGAGTGTTAAATATAGACTTGACTTGGATCCTTGGTTTTAATAGAATTTTTAAAATTAATTGCTTGTTTATTTTGCCAGCCGAATAAAAGAACTGTACAAAAGTAGTCAGATGACTAGAGGAGAAGTTGAAAGATTTCTTAAAGCTCCCTCCATCTTTTTATCTAGGCAATCCTTAGGTGTCACATGGCCCTCTAGTGGAAGGGATGCTCAGCTGGACCGAGGCAACTGCAGAATATTCTCTGGGAGTTGTTACCCAAGGGATTGCTTTTATTCAGGTAATCTTTCAGTTTGGATTAACTAGCTGGTTCTGACAACCTAGGTGATAGAATTTTGGAATAGGTAAGGAGACATTTTAAGGTAAATATCCCTATTTGTGGAAGATTCACCTAAGTTAGCCCATTTCTTATTAAATACTATTGATCTTTTTATTAAAGGATTGGTTAGGCTTTTTGTTTTTATTGTTGTTATTGTTGTTGCTCTTGGTGGTAGTGGTGTGTTTATTTTGTTGTTTGATTATTTTTCAGTGTTTGTTTTTAAATTGAATAAACTATATTCCATATTTGATTAATAATTATCCCTCATAAGTAAGGCACCCAGGCCTCCTTATTTCTTTATTTTTATCCAGTTTTTAAAAATAAAATTTCAGTATTTTTCTTCCATTTTTAAAGTAATTTTGAATATTCATCCTTAATTCTTGAAATTTTGGCAAACAAAATTATTTTTTCTTTTTGAGGAAGTAGATAAAAGTGTAAACTATGAAGTAGAATAAAAATGTAGGTATCTAACTACCAAAAGGAGAAATAAAATTTTAAATTAATAGAGGCATAAAGAAGCATAAATCTAGAATTGGGGACACTCATTTCTTGTTTCTTACTTCCTTTAGAACATTTTAGTTCTGTTCATTTATACTTCCTGGTGGTCTTTTTCTTGCAGTTAAAGGGAGCTTCAAGTCTCTAAAATGAGTTTAACTTTTTTTTTTTACTGCCCTAGTTCTCTTAGGAAGTTTCTGGATGGGTGAATGAATTTAACATGATCAAGAATACCGATATAATAGTAGTAGAAGTGGAAGTTTTTTCTTTTTCTTCTCTCTTCTCTTCTTTAGACTTCTTTCATCACTGAAATTAAACAGGGAGATTTCTGGCAGTTTGGTATTATAGCAGGATGGTTTGTAGCAATAACTATTACTAATGAAACCCTTAAAGAATTTGGAATAGCTGCATAAACTAGTGATAGCCTCTGATCCAGCAGGTGCTAAAATACCTACTTTTTGATTACTCTCTAAAATAAGTTAAAATGCAAGCCAGAAATAGTCTATAGAACAGGATGTGTAAATATATTTTCTGACTGTACCTTAAGCGGAAAAGCATAAGTAATATATCATTTAGAGTCTTTAGTGATTGACTTTGCTAAATGTAAAAGCAATGTTAATGAAGTAATAGTGCTGTCCGTTTATCTTTGTGGAAGTGCTTTAAAAGCTTGTAACTAAAATATTCTGCTTTTTCTTTCTTTTCTTTTTTTTTTAATGTGAATTTCTTCTGCTTATATCATCAGGGTGAATCAGCACTTGATTTGGCAAAGCAGAGAAAAAATGTGTGGATGATCAACCATTTGCAAGAGGCACGGCAAGCAAAGGGATATGACAATCCATCTTTCCTTAGAAAGCTGAAAGCTGATAAGGTAAATCCATGACTGCAGATTTTCAGCAGATAGTCTTTTTAAGTAAAATTCATAAGCATATTTTCTTAGCATGTGTATTTACAGGCTGTAGTCTTGGCATTGGCCAGTGTAGTTTTTAAAATATTATTTCACCCAGCTAAATAAAGGTAGATACCAAAGTTTAAGAAGGATGGGTATATGTGAAATTGTTTAGATGCCTATTTACTACTAACATAAACTTTAATTCAGCTGGCCTTTGTTAAGTTTTTATAGAGAGATAATAAAACTGTTCCTTTTAAGTGTATTTGTTAGTATGGTAATAAATTGTGAAAAATCTTAGTCCTTACATATTTTGAAACTACTTATAACTCTATAGTTAATTTAAGCTTTCCATTGTTTTGTAATATGTTGTAACTTTCATTGAGAGAGAGAAACTTATTATTCAGTTCTCTATAGAAAGCTCATTTTAAATCTTCCATAAAATCTTCAGTTTTAAACTGTATGATTTTTGCCTTAGTTGCCTAATTGTATGATTTCAAAACTAAGAACATTTTCCCCAAAAGAAGGATCTGTATTCCTTAAAAATTTATTTCCTTAAAAGGAAAAATTAGTTGACTGATAGTTTTTTTGTATATCTAAATAATTAATGAGATATTTGCTAACTTGTCAGTAATCACAATTTGAATGGCATTAAGCCTTGGGTATCATATATGTCTTATTCAGTCGGTTCTAATGGTAATACTTAAGTTAACACTGATCTATCTGTTACCAAAACAAAATAACAAGTTTTGGGTAAAGGGAAACAGAGTTATTTAAAAGCATGCCTCATTGATATGTAGGATTTAGACTTCCTTAATGTCCTAATGAGCTGAAAAGTCCATTGGTCCATTACTTAGACATCAGGAAAATTAGGTTTGTAGTTTATAAACTTGGCCATTTTCAGCCCCGTATTTGAGGCTGAGGAGCAGTTTTTGCATGTCATGTCATCTTTTCATTTTTACTGTTTACGTGTACTATTAAAAATAGTTAATTATTTATTGAGTGGGCCCAAAAGTTTCTTCCAGTTTTTCCATACAGTGTTATGGAAAAACCACAACAAACTTTTTGGCCACCCCAATACTTGGATGTCGCTCTGTCCTCCAGGCTTTGGAGCAGTTTTGCTCAGCAGAGTGAAAAGTGGCTAATTTCTTGTAATAACCAGGCCACTGATAAAGATGTCTCTTGTTACTCTGGAACGCCTCATTGTCTTTATGCTTTCATTTGCTTAGTGAAGTTGTAGATGTTTATAGAATTATTTATTACAGCAGTAGTGAACTATATATCAGGGTTTTATGTTTGAATACAGTTTCTTTTAAGAAGAGAGCTGCATTAAAAAGCTGTGCACAATTTTATTAACATTTGTATATATTATTGTGATCAGTTCAGAAGTTGTATATTCCTGGTTTTTTTGTTTTAGTTTTTTGCATTAGTAGCTTTAAAAATATTATGTAATCTAAAGCGATCACTAGATGAAAGTTCATGATTTCATTAAGTGGGGCTTTGTGAAATTAAGTATTTGCATTTGTATAGACTATGCTCTTTCCATCTCACATTAGAAAAATTTAAATTATGAACATGACTTGATTTGCTAGTCTGTGAAGTATGTTCTGTATTTAAAACTAAACAAGAAACCGCCCAAGACTCAATAGCTTTTTACTAAAAATAAGTCAGCCCAAAAGGAAAAAAATTATTTTTGGACACTGATAGTAGACAGATATGAAAGGAATCTTGATGAGTTATAAAGAAATCTCTAAATTAGTGTTTCTCAAGTTTTAAAAACCCAGGATCCCTTCTGTTAGCAGTGAAAATCTCACAAGTATTACTCTCTAATTTTTTTTTATTAATTATGTGAAAATAAATCCGGGAAGATGGAGTAGATGTATTTTTCCCTATTCCTTCTTGCCAAGTACAACTAAAAAACCTGGATATTATGTACAAAACACATATAGGAAGGCTGAAGATGGAGAGAAGAAGGCAGAGAGTTAGGGAGCTAAGGATCCAAAGAATAACGTGGTGGTGAGTTCCCTCCTTTTTCTTTTTTTGCTCCATATTTTCCAGAAGAGGAACTGAGAAAGCCAACAACCCAGAATCATGAATGGGTACAGACAGAAACAGCTCCCCCAAAAGTTTGCCCTTAAGCCAAAGAGCACAAAAGAGCCAGCGTATTTGGCAAGGTAGAAATTTTTAGAAAATACATTTCTGCTACAGCCAGAAACATCAGGAAAAACTGTGGACCCACCCTGACTCATACCAGCAAAGACCTAGCCTTCCAGCCTTACCACGGCTACAGTGATGTGCCCCAGCTTCCCTCCTGGGGTGGTGTCAGCGAAGGTGGAGTGGAGAGTCGGGATTTGCGTCCCCACTGGCTGTTAGTGAGGCCCCATCCCTGCTGTGTTAGTGATGATCACGTAGCACACAGGCATGAGGCACTCCCAGCTAGGGCGTGTGCCGGTAGAAGGATACTGGAGACTTGGAAGCCCCACTTCTGCCCGTCAGTGAGGAGGAGACCCCTCCTCAGGTGTCAGTGAGGCCTGCTTGGGGTCCAGGACTTCCACCGCACCTGCCAGTGATGAGAAGGTGTCTTACTTCCGTCCCCTGCCTGCATCAGAGGAGTCCGCACGAGAGGTTTAAATAAGATCCAGCATCTCATAATACCCCAGGTGTCTAGGTTTCACACAGAAGTTGATCATCAAAACAAGAATCAAGAAGGTCTGGCTGAATGAAAAGAGAATTGGTGGATGCCAGTGTCCTGCCAAAGCTGTTAAAAATTGTGTGGCAGAAGATTTTAAAGCAACCCTCGTGAAAAGCCTTCAGTGAGTACTATGAACACACTTGAAACAAGTGAAAAATAGAGGCTTAGTGAAGACCTAGAAGTAGACTGTAAAGAAGAACCAAATGGAAATTGTAAAACTGAAAATTAAAATAACCAAAAATTTTTTAAAAAGTCAATGGATGAGTCCCACAGCAGAAGAGAAGTGACAGAGGAAGGAATCAATGGCATTGAAGATGACAAAAGGAAATAAACTGAGGAAAACAAACAGAAGAGAAACTTAGGGGCCTGTGGTTATAACAGAACATCTAACATTGGTATAGTTGGAGTTCCAGAAGAAAAGAGGGTGGGGCTGAAAACATGCTCAAAGATAGAACGGCCAAAAATTCCCCAAATTTGGCAAAAGATAGACTTCTAGATTAAGAAGTAGAACAAACTCTGAACAGAGTAAACTCAGTGAAATCCAAACCAAATGTATCATAGTGAAACTTCTGGAAACTAAAGACCAAGAAATAAAAATCTTAAACACCCCTTACCAGTAGGGATAAACCGTTCAGTAACAGTGGATTTCTATTCAGACTCTGTAGAGGCAGAAGGGGCTGCTGCGTTTTCCAAATGCTGGATGGAAAGAACTATTGATTCAGAATCCCATGTCCAGTGAAGATATGTTTCAGGAGTGAAGGGGAAGAACACAGTTTTAGATAAAGGAAAAGTCAAAATTTGTAGACAGCAGTCCTGCCCTAAAAGTGGCTAAGAGACGTTCTTTAGACAGACGGGAAGTGATTTAAGAGACTTTTGGAACATAATATAATTTAAGCAAAATTACAGGTAAATACAGTAGACTTTCCATCTTATTCTGCATCTTCCAAACTATGTTTGACAGTTGAAACATCACAGTATTGTTTGCTGTGGATCTAAATGCATGTAGAGAATGGATTTGAGACAACTTGTATTGTAAACAGGTGAGGACAGAGGGATAATAACGGAGGTAAGGTTTCCACACTTCACTTAAATTGGTAAAATGATGACACCAGTATACTGTGATAAGTTATATTTATATTGTACTTAGAGTAACCACTAAAAAAGCTATTCAAAGAGATATACTCATAAATTCTGAAAAGCTCTTATAGATAGAGTTAAGAGAAGTTTTTCAGTAACTCACAAGAAGATAGGAAAAAACAGAAACAAAAACAGAACAAATAGAAAACAAAAAATTAAATTATAAATTTATATCCTAACATATCAGTAATTAGAGTAACTGTGTGCAAAGTTGCTTCAGTCACGTCCAACTCTCTGCGACCCTCTGGACTATAGCTCTCCTCTCCCCGTGGGATTCTCTGGGCAAGAATACTGGAGTGGGTTGCATGTCCTCCTGCAGGGGATATTCCTGACCCAGGGATCGAACCTATATCTCTTAAGTCTCCTGTATTGGCAGACAGGTTCTTTACCACTAGCACCACCCGGAAAGCCCAGAATAACCATAAATGGTCTAAATATACCAATTAAAAGACAGATAGCAGCAATGTGGATTATAAAGCATGACTCAACTATATACTGTCTGAAACTCACTTCACCTACAAGAATATTGGAAAGTTGCTTATATGGGCAAGTAGCAAAATAGAAATGACCTATGATTCCAAAAACAGGCAAAGACAGTACAAAAAGGAAAACTCCAGGCATATCTCATTTTACTGCATTTCACAGGTATTTCTTCACTCTCTCTTTTTTTAACAAGTCTATGTTTGTGGCAAGCTACATCAAGTGAGCCTTGTTGATGCCATTTTCAGCAGCATTTGCTTATTTCATGTCTGCATGTCACGTTTTGGTAATGCTTGCAGTATTTCAAACCTTCCGCCAGCAAAAAGATTATGACTTGATGAAGGCTCAGGTGATGGTTAGCACTTTCTAGCAATTTTTTAGCAATATTTTTAAATGAAAAGATATGTTTTTTTTAAGACATAAGGCTATTAATGGACTACAGTGTAAATATAACTTTTTAAAATCAAAATATAGTTGATTTCCAATATTATGTCAGTTCCAGATGTACTGCATAGTGATTTGACATTTGTATACATTATGAAATGATCACCACATTAAGTCTAGTAACCATTTGTTCCTATATAAATTCCTTAAAATATTATTGACCATATTCTTTTTTTTTTGACCATATTCTTTATGCTGTGTATTACATCCCATGGCTTATTTATTTTAT